CTCCTCCCTAACTGAAGCTGCAGTCAGCTTGTCAGCCTGGGAATGGAGCTGAGAGTCAGGAGAAATCCAGGCCTGGAGAGAATTCCCAAGCTGGAATTCCCCAGCTCTGTGAATGTGTGTGTCCACAAATTTGGGGTCATTCCTCAAGTTTTTCTTTGCTACCACCCAGGATGGATTGCTGTGCTAAGTGGAATTCTGGTTTTGTTCCAGAAAAATCATTTTTTATCTGTTTTATCCTGCTTTTCTCAGTCCCATCATCTCAAAGTCCCGAGTTTAATCCTCATATGGTGCACCATTATACTTTTTATTTATTCACTTATTTTTATTTTTATAGTCAGAGTTGGGATTAAAGGTATAAGAGATAAAATTTTATGTTCAAAGTTATTTATTAATTTTTATTTATACTGCTACAGCACTTTCAGCTAATAAATTAAAAAGATCGTGCTGAGTTTTGCTCATTACAAGGCTTTTTAAGGCTTAATTGTCTAATTAAAAACTAACACTTAAATTAGTTTTATTTTTGACTTAATGACTAAACACTCATGACTTGCAGTGTGTGGCAGTTTTTATTTAATTAAAAGGCACCACTCAGATTTAAGAAGAAAAAGGTGAAGAAAGAAAAAACGTCTATCCTAAAATCTTCATTTTGATTTATATTTATTATTATATTTTAAAATTTCTTTTTTTTCACTAGAGGACATGACACATTCCTATTTAAACTACACACCAGTGAAATATTTTAGTTCTATTATTCAATTTTGGAAGCTTTCTCCATGGCCTCAGGTCAAAAGCTGTTGTTTTTTTTGGGAGGGTCAGTGCCTGACAGCACAGAAAGTTCAAAATTCCCGATTTCCAGGGTTCCAATAATCTACAATATTCCAGCTGCATCTCCTTCCCATCCAGGTCTATTCCCTTGGATTTTTCCTTTTTCTTTTCCAGCTTTCAGGCCTAACACAGCAGAGAAAATGTCACAAACACCCCCTTGAACCAACTCTCAGAAATAAATAAAAAACAATAAAAAAAAAAAAACCACATGGAACATCCCATGACATTTTTAGGACAAAACCTCAAATTCCACCAACCTGGAAAGATTCCCTGTTTTTCCTCTGCCTCCTCCTTTCCCTCAGCAAACTTTTCTGCTTCTCCTCCTCCTCCTCTTTCTCCAAGGCCCTGATGTGTTCCTCAAAACAGATCAGGGCATCCTCCTTATCCATGTCTGCCAAGAAAACGGGGAAAAAGAGAGGGGGGGGGTAAAAAAAAAATAAAAAAAATAGAAAAGCAGATTATTCCTTCCCAGTGGGGCAGAATCCTCCTTCCCAGAGAATTCCAGAGCCTTTGGACTCACTCTGGAGCTCCTCATCCTCAGCAAAGGTGGGGTTGTCCATCAGGTACTGCTGGGCCTCTGACCAGGTGGTGCAGTAGGTGACATTGGCCATGTTGTCCAGAATGTTCTTCAGGGCTTCCCAGTTCCTCTTCCTCAGCTGCTTGGCTTGTTCCTGAGGGGAGAAGGGTTCACTGGGGTTCATTGTGGGCTCAGGGTGGGCAGCAATGCAAGATGGGTTGTGCAAGACAGCAGGAAATTCGCCTTTAGTTTGTATCAGATCGTGGGATTCTGGAGTGGTTGGGGTTGGAANGTGGGCAGCAATGCAAGATGGGTTGTGCAAGACAGCAGGAAATTCGCCTTTAGTTTGTATCAGATCGTGGGATTCTGGAGTGGTTGGGGTTGGAAGGGTCCTTAAAGCTCATCCCATCCATCCCACTGATTCCATCCCATTGATCCCATGGATTCCATCCTACTGATCTCATCCCACTGATTCCATCTGATCCCATCCCATTGATCCCATGGATCCCATCCCATTGATTCCATCCCAATGATCCCATGGATTCCATCCCATTGATCCCATTGATTCCATCCCAATGATCCCATTGATTCCATCCCAATGATCCCATTGATTCCATCCCAATGATCCCATTGATTCCATCCCAATGATCCCATTGATTCCATCCCATTGATCCCATTGATTCCATCCCAATGATCCCATGGATTCCATCCCATTGATCCCATCCCATGGATTCCATCCCATTGATCCCATTGATTCCATCCCATGGATTCCATCCCAATGATCCCATTGATTCCATCCCATGGATTCCATCCCATGGATTCCATCCCATTGATCCCATGGATTCCATCCCACTGATCTCATCCCATTGATTCCATCTGATCCCATCCCATTGATCCCACTGATCCCATCCCATTGATCCCACTGATCCCATCCCATTGATCCCACTGATCCCATCCCACTCTGATCCCATCCCACTGATCCTATTGATCCAATCCAATCCAATCCCATGGATCCAATCCCAAATCCCATTCCATCCCACTGATCCCATCCAATCCAATCCCAATGATCCCATCCTGAGACCAGGTTGCTCCAAGGCCCATCCACCCTGACCCTGGACACCATTTTCCCCTTTTATCATTATTATTATTATCATTATTATTATTATTACTATTATTATTATTATTATTATTACTATTATTATTATCATCATCATCATTTCACTGATTCAGAATAAAATCCATCACGTGACTGATTAAAATCCAACACACGACAAAATCAACCAGGAACAAATCCCCCCAAAAAAACCCCCCAGAACCCTAAAAAAGCTGCATTTTATCTGCCACAAAGCCTCAGGCACGGGTTTAAAGTGATTTAGGAAACAAGTGAGGGGATTTTGGACAGATGTGAAGGGAATTTACCTTTTCCTTCTTGGACAGGAAAAACAAAACATCCTCATAAATCTCCAGGCGGTCGCGCTCGGAGATGGCATTCCACACTTCCATCTCCCCAAACATCTGCTCAGCTTTCCTGGCCAAAACAGGTTCCAAAAAACCACAATTAATTATTGATTGATTGATTGATTGATTGATTGCTTCATCAATCAGCCATCGATCCCCCACAGCTCTGCTCCAAACAGGAAAATTTTCATAGGAATTCTTCATTTTTTCCTCTTGAAAAGTTTTTTTTTTGTTATTTTTTTTGGTTTTTTTTTTTGAGCTATCTAATTTTTACAAAGGGAGTTAAAAGCTAAAATTGGAGTTGGATTTTTATCTCCAATGTCTCACTTGTATCTGGTGGTGGATGTCATCTTCTCGTGGTTTTCCAGGAAACGTTGGAAGGATTCCTTGGCTTCCTTGTACTTGGATCTGGCTTCTTCCTTCTCCTCCTTCTCTGTCTGAACTTTGTAAGCATTAAAAGCTTGTTTTTTTTCACTCAGTTTTGCCAAAGCACTGCCCAGGAAAGAAAAAAAATAAAAGAAAAAATAAATTTTATATGATAATAAAAAAATTGTAATTTTTTTTTTTTATAAAATAATTTTTTTAATACCTTTTTTTTTTTGAGATTTAAAAAAATCAAGGAAGAGAAGACAAAGAAAATCAGGAAGAGAAGACAAAGAAACCCAGGAGACAAAAAAAAATGAGGGAAAGAAAATGAAAATCTGAAAAAAAAGAAAAAGAAAATCGAGAAGAAAAAAGAAAATCAGAAAAAAAAAGAACAAAGAAAGTCAGGAAGAGAAGACAAAAGAAATGAAGGGAAAAAAATGAAAATCTGAAAAAAAGAAAAAGAAAATCAAGAAGAAAGAAAATCAGAAAAAAAAAAGAAAAAAAGAAAGTCAGGTAGAGAAGACAAAAAAACCAGAGGACAAAAAAATTGAAAATCTGAAAAAAAGAAAATCAGAAGAAAAAAGAAAAGCAGAAAAAAAAGAGCAAAGAAAGTCAGGAAGAGGAAACAAAGAAAAAAAATGAAAATCAGAAAAAAGGAAAATTAGAAGAAAAAAGAAAATCAGAAAAAAAAAAAGGTCAGGAAAAAAGGGAAAATCAGAAAAAATAAGAGAAAAATAAAAAAAACAGAAAAAAGCAAATCAGAAAAAAAAAGAAAATGGGAAAAAGGCAAAGCAGAAGAAGAAAAAAACCAGAAAAATCAGAAAAGGAAATAAAAAAAAAAAAGTAAGAAAAATAAATAAGAAAATCAAAACCAGAAAGCAAAAGCCAACAGGTTTGAATAATCCAGATTTGAGACAAAATTAATCTGAACATTT